ATGATGATGATGATGATGATGATGATGATGATGTGATTGATTATGATTAACTAGGATCCAATCCAGCTATATGCATTCAGCTCTTGGGCTGAGTGCAGCTCCCACGCCATATATTTCATCATCGCTTCTGATGATGATGATGATGATTATGATTAACTAGGATCCAATCCAGCTATATGCATTCAGCTCTTGGGCTGAGTGCAACTCCCACGCCATATATTTCATGAGTCATCGCTTCTGAGTTACGGGGCACACAGAGGGAGAAATGTGGAAGAACGAGGTTTATTCTTGGCGTTCTGAGATGCATCACCACGCTTGAGTCTTGTGTGCGTGTTTCGGAGACACAGCATACATCAATTTTAGGGAAATGTAAGGCTTCAGGAAGCATTGCCTGTTTGCCAATTCGATATTGAGTACGGATGGTAAAAACTCCTATATAGAAAGGATCTAGTAGATTTAGAAGGGTGTTATTTTGTTTAATGTTTGTAGGCAGCGAGCAGCATAAGGCCCTTCGGTCGCACAAGCGACGTTTGCTTGTGCGGTGGGAATGGGTAGGGGTGGGACATCGCTGGACACAGAACTGCGCGGACAAATGATACTTTCCGCTTGCCCAGGCCGAGGTAGGGGAGTTGGTTGAGCCCTTGACTCAAAATTCTGACCAACATGAGACTGGGAGAATGTAGGGCTTTGTTCGGGGACTCTGCCCCCAGCCTCTGACTCAAAAGACTGACCCCGTCCGAAGCCAATGACTCGATAGTCTGACTTGCTCGGCTGCGGGGGGTTGACCTAACTCGAGGGCGCAGGCAGTTAGGCGTTACTTGCTCATTCGTGATTCGGCTGCGCCTTGCAGATGCCGTTCGATCAGTACCGGACTCTTTGATTTTAATAATATTTCAACCGTATTGAATAGTGCGCTGGCAGTCATGGTCAACCGTTGGACGATCAGAGTGTGCGGTTTTGGAAGCCGACTTTTTCTAACTCATCCTTCCGTGGGGAAAGGGAGGATCGCTGCTTCCATAATTAGAGAAATTCTGGTCGACTTGGGGATACACCTTACTGCCTTCACACTTCTATCGCAGAGGACAGTACGACTTTACCCCTAGGCCTAATAATACGATTAATCGCAGTACGGGACTCGCTGCTGTTCGTCGATGTGCTCCCCTTTGGCCTTTCTGACATTGTTGGACCTTGTGGAACGAGGTTTCAGCCAGTGTAGCCCGCAGGATCTTCGCAGCACAGAAGCTGGACCACCACCACAAGGTCATACCTTCAGGTCACTCACATCAGATACATCGTTAGATACACCAACGTCAGTGTCTACACTGGTGCTCCACTGTCGTAAAGTGAAAAGGCAGAATGGGCGGGGAGGGACCTGATTCTAGGCTCCTGCAAGCATTATGAGTTGCCCACATCTCTAAACGCCTCCGTCCCGTTTCTGTGGAAAAAAATCTTGGAACTACCCTTCAACCGAATCGGTACCAGAAAGGTGCAAGCATTGCTACTGAAAAATTCAGACCCCTTAGCTCCCTGCAACCACACCTTGTAGACTTCTTAACCACTTAATTCGCAGATAAACTGCACATGGTTTATTTTTTGTTGCCTTACAAGAGCACGTGAAAACATGACCGAAGAGTAGCAAGTGGGATTCTGGATCGGACCTACGCTCCATCAATTGATAAAGCAGCGGCATTCATATAGGTTGCCAAATGTAAATATCATACAACGCTGAGTGTCACTAAAAACCCGACGTCGCGAATAGCTGGATGCAATCTAGGGGCAACTTTGAAGCCTGAACGTAGCTAAACGTCACAACTGGAAAAACGTACCAGTACTCAATTCGCTGATCCCGGAATTTGTCCTGTACTTAATGGAAACATTCTGTGTTCCATCCACTGAGATAAAGGGTATGAGCCTGTTTGGTAAATGATCGTGTTCATCATAGAGAGCAACATCAATGTTGTCAGAACCATGAAAGTTTAATTAATTGTATTAAAAGCCTTAAGGTGAAGATAATAGAAAAGGTTGGGTGGGGGACGCGCTGATGGTCTATCACAAACATTCTGAGGTGCATGCAACTTCAGGCACTTGATCGGGTAACCTGTTAGGAAACTGACGGCACGAATGCCACTGACGTCGATCAGTCGCCATCTCTTGCATTGTATTCAGTCAAGCGCAGGGGTGTCACGGGGACCCTATCCTGGAAGGTGGGCCGCACCAGCAACGCCTAAACTCTTCGTGATCTTGTTAGTTACCATCCCCTCAACGTTTATCTTCGACCACTTTACCAGAGTTTGGTTACCACCTCATCAACGTTTATCTTCAACCGCTTTCACAGTCCGATTACTATCTCATTAATGTTTACCTTCATCCACTCATATAATCTGTTCAACGCATGCACATCCGCTGTTTCATTCCTGTCCGCATTATGACGAACATGCGCCCCACGACTAACCAAGAGTGTTGGAATCTTATCCTAAGACAAACAATGCAAGCGCATCCTCACTCACAACATATATATATATATATATATATATGCGGAACAACGATCCCACAACCCGACGCTCGTCAGTTCACACAGCGCCTTGACCAGACCATTTCAAGCCGACGCACGACTCACTGTGCAGGAAAAGTCTGGGCTCGAAATCGTTTTGGATTAAACGACAAAGAACAGGCCAGATTTCAACACACTCGGTCAAGACCCCATTCAATTCAACGGCGTCCCACAAACATTGGCTGCATCGGCTACAACTTATCAAACGAAGAACTCGATAAGTCTCATACTTCTTTTGTCCATTATTCAGTTGTAATTTGTGTCTCTGGTAGCCACTATACATAACTGTTTATTGTTAGTGCTATTTCACCTTCTGATATTACTTCGAGTAAAAA